CAAGATGTTTAAATTACTCGTAAAAACCTCGAGGAAAAACAAAAGGAATTAGTCAGAGCATCATTTTCTCAAGAAATTAGAGTGACTGAGCAAATTGAACCACATATAAATGCTAAGGACATAATTCTTCAAGAAGTTTTAGTGAAATACTCAGTGAGACCCTGTAACACAGCTGTCTTGTCATGGACATGCAATACAAAAATCAGTGTCTTTCTGACACCTGAAGTTTTGCATCATATTTACTGGTATTGAGCAATATGCTGTGATCTTGAAAAAATAAACGAGAATATCGTGTGTGCTTTTGGAGCAAGGAGAGAAAGATTCGACTGCATACATTTATAGACAGAATTCCCTTATTAAGTGGAAACAGAAGCAGCTAATTCCCGTATTTATATTATAAAATATATTTAAAAATTGACAAAAAAAAACTTGGCTTATAGCTTATACTGTTGATACCAATCCATTTGGATAATGCCTTACATATCCTAAATCCTGAATAATTTTCATTGTTTGGCTAACTTTCTAAGCCTTAATTATTCACAACATTAAATTTGAGACTAATAAGAGTCCTCACCCAATCACTATGAACTAGCTTTATTTTTTCCATTATATGAAGTGATTACACACCTGTCCTTTTTATCTACTTGTAGAAGTAGCTTTTCTTGTTGTTACCCAAATGCAAATTACAGTTTTAAAACTGGCTTGCAACCATTTTCCAGTACTGCCATTCCATGGTTTGCTATTTGTTGACCAATTACTTCTCTAGATTTTTTGTTGTTATTGTTTTAAAATAGGAAGAGTTTACGAAGTCTTTCCTTACCTGATCTGTTTATTTTCGTTTGAAAGACTTCTCATTAAGTGTTATTTCCCATACCAGTGTCAACTGTTTAAACAGAACTAGCCAAAACAGTAAGAATTCTATTTGGGGAAAATATGGTGACTTCAGCATGTGTTTTTATGAGGTATCAGGTGGAAAGAGAGAGTCTTGAAGGGAAATATGTGAGGAGGAAATCAGGGAGGAACAACATTCCTCAGCTCTATGATCACTTATACACAAGGAAGAATGAGCCAGGTAGTGAAGGTACCCATCTGCTCCTCCTCCCACCCTGCTCTCCAACAGCAGCTGCACTCAATCACCTGACAGCCGCAAGCACACCAACATCAAAGATGACAATTAGTGTCTTTTGCTAATCTTCATTTGCTCAGCTGCATCCCCCAGACTAAAGCTAAACCACAGTTGCCTTCAGTTGTCAAACCACCAGGTTCCATGGGTATTTTTAAAAGAAAAACCTGAAGCTATCCATTAACATTTCAGAGAAGCAAATGATGTTTATACAGAAAAGACATCCATCTCCTGAATTACAGCTGCTCTTTAAATGCTTGTGCCTGCATAAAAAAAGTTCTCCTGCCCTTGGGAATGAACAGGCAGCACTCAGGACTGCTGCCAAGGCAGTCAAGACAGCTTCAGTTACAGTTCAGTGTAACAATCATAAGACTTTTTTTTGTCAGAACACAGAACAGAAGTCGTGTCAGCAACTTCTTTTAAATTGACAGTCCAGCAAGAGTGTGCCTGAACAAGGTAGGATTTAAGAATCACAACAGTACCAGTTGCATTTTAATCTCATACACAGCAATGATTGGCAGATTGTATTTTCTTATATGTGCACAAGATTTTCCGTTTACAAGTACTCACCACCCCACAAAAAGTCAAAACAAAAAGCTTTATAAATTGCAAATTAAGGCTGCTAAATGATGTTTAGTACTCTACCACCATACTATGTTAATCAGTACTCCAGAAGAAAAATCGTATTTCCTTCTTTTAAGTGGTGGTCTCCTTAAGCAATGTCTAGGGCATTTCTAGACACTCTTCTCCCTTAATCCATGGAATTCAAACCTCTGTACAATAAGCTTCATAGTTGTACCAATTCCAACAGTTGCCATCAGTCCACTTTACATTTACACTCATCAGTTACTCCTTACCTCTGAGATCCTACTGATCATCACTATAACCACTGAAGAGTTCTGCTGGAGGCTCATCCCACAACTTAGTACAGAGAGCTTGCAAGCAGTGCTTAAGCAAGACATTGGTCTTCCTGGATGCAAAGCACAAGTTGAGAATCTGAAGCATCTAGTTTTACCTGTCTCACAGTATTGCACACACAGTTTTAACCAAACCAACAACACAGCTATACCCAAGCAAAGCATTAACCACACACATCCTCTTTGGCTACCAGCAGCTTCAGAGGTGTAGGTAAAGTTGGGTCAGTTACTGTGTACTTCAGAATTTTCAGACATTTGATTCTTGCTGAAACTGGTATAATGAATAAACATAAGCTTATAGCAAATAATTTTTACTATATTTCATGAAAAAGTTAAGACAGAACTAGACAAAAAAAAATTAAGTCTTTTGCACACACATAGATAGGAACCACCTGCAAGAAAGAACCTGTCAGATCCAGCTATGTCCTCCACAGAAGAGATCTCAGAAAGCATGCTCCATCTCTTGGCTGCATTTCTGTCTTTTTGTACCACTTAAGAGCTCAGACACTTTATGCTGCTAAAAGTACCGTCCACAGTCGTCATGGTGGAAACAGTTAATGAAGTTCAGAGATCAAATAGAAACAGCTGATTTTGTTAGCAGGGCTCATATGACAGAAACCAGACCTGCAGACAGAAGGTGCTATATATTGTGTAAACGGCCTACAGAAAGAATCGTCCTTCCCCCTCTGCTGCACCCCAAGATTTTTGATTCCAGCTCTTAGCTGCTAATACTTTTGCAATTAAATTTCTATGACATTTTTATGAGAGAAGTGGCAGAGGAATTATACCTTTCATGCAAATCATGTGTTTCAACTAACAACTTGATATTTCAGAATGTCACATTTCATGGAAAATTGTTGCTATTTCCCTCTCAGGCTGCTTTCAGCAAGAGTCAAAAAAATTACAAAATTAACAGGGTTGACAGAAATCCCAACAGAAAACCACACTCCAATTCACCTATGGATCCTCCAATTCCCCAAGTCATTTACACTTCATACAACTGTTCAAGCACTTTTCTCCCCAGAGCAAAGCATTCATTTCAAGTGCACTCCCGCATTTTCTTGTTCTAAGCCTGTCATTATACTAGCAACCACATGAAGTAATTTGTCTGCTTAAACTTACCAGAGGCATCTTCAACAAACCTCAAGGTCACCTTTGAGGTAGGCAGGCCCAGCACTCAGCTATGTTTGGTCAAATCTGTGTAACATGGGGCAGCCTTGCCAGCCACTGCCCTCTCCTCACAGACCTGGGATGTCCCGACACCATGTTCTGAAATCCACGTTCTGTAAGATGTAGGTGCAAGGAGATATCGATCTGGAAAGGTCTTCTCAGCTTTGGCACAACACATCTACTCTGTCTATTCAAAGGTGCCTGGTATCTTTAAATAAAGAAGAAATTTCTTCCTCAGTTCAGGCCATCTATGTTGCATTAACACTTAAAAGCAAGCACACTTAGACTCCTTTTCTTGCTTGTATCAATTTTCTGGAGATTGAGCTCTTCCCCCCCCTCCCCCCCCCCCCCCCTCCCCCCCGCCCCCCCCAAATCAGCTTCCCTTTACATATTAACTCTGAAAGCCAGTCAAATTCACCATGTACATCAATTCTAGTGGCTTCATGAGGACACAAGTTCGATAACAGCAGCCAAGGAAGGTCAAAGCACTGCGTGCAACTTCTATGGTAAAAATGAACATACATTGCTTGTTGTCTGAACCACAAGGCTCACCCCTTCTTTCCAAGGGCAGCCCTTAGGGTACTGCTACTGTCCTCCTTCCCACCCACTCCCAATTCCCAAAACACCTATTGCTTTGATTGGCAACAAATCTTCCAAAGAGGCTAAATTAAGTTCCCCAAGCCACAGTACTGAAGGGACACCAAACCATATTCACTCCATCAGTACTGAGGCTCAAGGGAAGGCCACACTCCCACCTCAGGCAATTTTTGCCAAGATGGAAGGTAATTCTCCACAGGTAACCCATACTTCAGAGCACACTAGCTGCCAGCCAGACAATTTTGTGCCATAACCTCATTAACCAAAAGATGCATCTACCTGTACAAAACGTAGCTTGTCCAGCACTGCATTTGGTACTGACTGGCAAGAACAACTCTTAAGACCAATCCTGCAGGTGTCACAGGAAGGCAAAAGCCATCCCACATTCAAGAACAAAGGTCTTCCTTGTTATTAAAAAGCTCATCTTTTTCAGTGTTTTCTTATGCCTGTTCAGCCAGGTCTGTGGCAAAAATCTGGTGATTCTCACCATTTTGACGTTTATAGCACTCTGTCAAAAACTACATCATCTTTGCTCCTCAGCACATTTGTCACAAAACTAAGCTGCACAACACTGATAAGTTGGTAGGTCCTTCATCAAACACCTTTCAAAGGCTTCAGAAACCTTCAAATTTGTCATCTTAGTTTTGGACCCTATACCTGAGAATATGATTACTATCTCCTCCCCGCTCTTCAGTACTAGTCACAAACACAAAAATATAAAAAGGTAGCCCAATTCAGAATTCAAAACCTATTTCCACTACTTCTTTCTGGATCAGCTTTACTTTCCAATTTTCTGTAATTCTCACAGTGGTCAGGAAATAGCAAAACTAACTTTTAGCTTTAAGAAATTCCTAAATTCCTACACTACGTTACCCCTATTCCTTTTGGGGCATTGGGATTTCTTTCACTTTCAGGCAGTAGGTACACAACCCAGAATGGAAATTTACATTTAATTTGCTGTTGATGAAGCAGGCTGGGAAATAAATGTTAGTTCCTGATCTTTACAGATGCATTTATCTCCAGCACAACAACAGGATGTTTGGCTTACAAGGGTTTAACAAATACTGAATCTTCCAGATGGAGAGTACTTTGTAGAACACAATGAACATCAGGGAAGATTTCATTTATAGATTTCTACTTACACTCTCAACACCGCATCTGCCTGCATATTAATAGCTTGTTCTTAAGTTAACTGTATATTTCAGTATTTCTGAAATTAGATGTGCCAGTTTATAGCCATTACTTTATTTTTCCCTTCTGGCATAAAGAGAATACAGCCTGGCCTTGTAAAGAATTGAGCTAACATTTCTGCATATTTTATTCAATCTCCTTTCAAGATTATTGGCTTGTAAAGTTCTCCCCAGCTATTAAAAAATCAAAGAAACATTGCAGTTTTAGCTTCTGCATTTGAGCCCTTAGGAAGATGGACTCAACAAGCTAAAGAAAAGGTTCTCTGTTATTTCTTGACACTTTTACCCTGGCAGCAGATATCTAAGCAAATATCTGAGCAGTACACCAAAAGAAATACAAACAGCGAAGCACTTGGTCTCTTTTATAGGGTTAACAATACACAGTGATTACCTCAGTTATAGAACTAGTTGTTTAAGTTGAAGAATTAAGCAGTGACAAATACATAGGAAAAAGAACCTAGTACCTTCTGACTCTCAGATCTCAAAATGATAAAGATTTGGTAATACATAGCCCACATTCTCAAAGCTCTGGTCGCCAGAGTTAAATTCAGGTCTAAGTTTCCATGGCTGTCTTCTCCATTGTGGTCTAGAGAAAAGTGAGACAGAAGTTTGAAACATACTGGTTGGTAGTCACTTGAAGCCTGAATAACTTGATTTTTGCCTTTCTAGACAAGAATTAGAAGTTTTGAATAATGCAGAATTAATTCTTTAAATTCTCTGGTGAAAAAAAAAAAAAAAAAAAATTGCAGTTGTCTATACTAAACCCAATGAGTGGGCAAAACAACTGAGCGGTTTGTTTGAGAGCAAGGTTGCAGAAACATTATATTTTTTCACATTAAATACAACATGCCTGAATTTTATTTGGAATGACCACATAATAGGTTTTCAGTTACAATTAAGTGAGAGGGGAAGAAAAAAAAAAAAAAAAGAAGTCTGCTTAACATTCAGTTAAATTCATATCCTTTTGCAGAGGAACAGTATTATAACGTTAATCTACACTTTTAAAATTCTACTTGCTGAAGCATTGACAAATTGCTCTCGTGAAAGCACAGAGATCAGCACACAAATTTAACGGAATTCTTGATCAAGTAATCACTTTCACAGCACTGAATATGCAGCCCAACAGGCTAGGAAAGGCATTAGGTCTTTACATCTGTTGTAGAAATAACTGTTCTTTAGAACTGCTCACTTCAGTTCTTATGTAAGCAGAATACTCTTCAAAGGGAAATAAAGTTTATCAAATGCAGGCTAAATAAAGATCAGAGAACCTGAAAAATCTTTGATATTTTTATCTCTCTCTGCACCACAGAAGATAAAGCCTACATCACAAGTCACTTTAGTAACCTCCCAGACAAACAGCAGAAACATTTTCTAGATGAGGATCCTGGTCATGAGGAAAAATGTTAACCTCTTGAGAAAAAGAAGATCAAATAAGAGATGTGAATAAGAAAACGTTCATCACAGCAGCAATAATATATGTGATGACAAGCACCCAATTCTTACCTCCCATGGGACTGGAGATCATAGTGATTTATTCAACACCTTCAGCAAACAGAGCCCCAAACTTGTCCTCAGCAGTGCAGCTACTCCTTAAAGTCTTTTCCTTCCACTCCCTATCACGCAGAGAACACGCTACTAACATGCTTCCACACCAAACACCCCTTCTCTCCACCCCTGAAGACTTATCTAGTTTCTCCTACCTACATGTAGTTTATGGCTTCAGCTGTCATCACTCTCTCAGATCAGACATCACCACCAACACCTGAACAAATTCTGGACATCAAATTACACCTTCACGAACACCTTTAATCAAATTATCTTATTATGTACTAATTCTGTGGCAGTACCTATGGATTATCAGAGCCTATCTCGTTCTCTGCATTCTGGAATGCTTTATTTGCCTCCAGAAATTTTTGGGGAAAATCAGGGGATTATAGGGTGAAAGAGCCCTATCTTACTCTCAAACCTGCATTTTAAGGCAAACATGCTGTTTATTGGGGGGGGGGGGGGGAGAGTCTTACTCCTGTTTTGATCCAGCATTTTATTGAATACGTTATTTGAAAGGTTTTTTTCCATTGAGAAAATTATATCTACCAAGAGACTTCCACTTCCATCCCCTCCATTTTTCTTTGCCAAACAAATTCTTAAACAGCAACACATTTGGGTTAAATATTTACTTTTCAACAAATTGGTGACTTCAAGTAGAAAATTTCTGTTGATATCGATTGCCAATATTGCAGCAGAGGTTATGAGACAGGAACACAGTGTGCTTGATGTTGCAGGTTCTTCTGTCATACCATGCTCTACTTCCATCCTGTATGGAACAAGGTGTGCTTGCTCATTTGTATACTCTATAAATACAACTTTATAAGCAAATTATGTTATTTTTCCACTGCTACCTGCATTTTTTACCACAACCAAATTCCAAGTCAGTGGAACAGCTTCCGTTTCTTTAGGCTGGAATTGGCAGAAATACAATGTGTATTTCACAAGTAGTCCCTGA